GACCCTAGATTCACCTCTAGATTTTGGGAGAGCCTACAACAAGCTTTGGGAACCCAACTGAGACTTAGTTCAGCATACCACCCTCAAACTGATGGTCAGACTGAGAGGACTATTCAGTCTTTAGAGGATTTGCTTAGAGCCTGTGTTTTGGACCAAGGAGGAAGTTGGGATAGCCTTTTACCTTTGATAGAGTTTACCTATAATAATAGTTACCACTCTAGCATAGGTATGGCACCCTATGAAGCCTTGTATGGTAGGAAGTGTAGAACTCCTTTGTGTTGGAGTGAGCCTGGAGACAATGTCATCTTAGGACCTGAAATTGTGCAGCAAACCACTGAAAAAGTTAAATTGATACAGGATAGGATGAGGACAGCTCAGAGTAGACAGAAAAGTTATGCTGACAGGAGAAGAAAAGATTTAGAATTTCAAGAAGGTGATCATGTATTCTTGAAAGTCACTCCGTGGACTGGGGTTGGTAGGGCATTAAAATCCAGAAAACTTACTCCTCGATTTATTGGTCCTTTTCAAATTCTTAAAAGAGTCGGCAATGTTGCCTACAAAATTGCTTTGCCTCCTAATCTGTCAAATCTTCATGATGTTTTTCATATTTCACAACTTCGAAAATACATCCATGATCCTTCGCATGTGATTGAGTCGGATCATATTGAGGTTAAGGAGAACTTGACGGTGGAAGCTACCCCGGTGAGAGTCGAGGATCGAATGGTAAAGCAACTTAGGGGTAAAGAAATTCCTTTGGTAAAGGTTATTTGGGGAGGAGCTATACCAGAAAGTGCTACTTGGGAATTAGAGGAGAAGATGAAAGCTTCATATCCATTTTTATTTGCATCAGGTAATTTCGGGGACGAAATTTCTAAAAGGAGGGAAGTAGTGTAACATTCCAAAATTTTATTTTTTTATGTATTGGAATTATTAGAAGAGTTACCGTATTTTTATATACGTATTTTACTATTTACATATACGTATTTTACTATTTACGTATATGTATTTTACTATTCATGTATACGTATTTATGAATAGTATTTTACTATTCATATGCATAATTGAAGGCTGCGGAACCGAAGGGGGCTGCGGAATTGAGTTTCAAAATTTAATTAATTCTAATATTTTAATGAATAGTTCATAGTAACTTTAATATTAAAATAATGAAATAATATTATTTTAATGAATAGTAACCTGTGCATAGTAACTTTAAAATTTCTATAAATAGAGGCCTAGAGTTTTGAAAATTCACAATTCTAGAGAGAGGGAAATTCTAGAGAGATAGAGAGGGAGAAAGAAGAGAGAAAAAGAGAGAAAGAAAGAGAGGAGGTTCTGCTCTAGTTTGATCCCGGTTTAAGAAAAAGAGGAGGAGGTTCTGCTCAAGTTTCTATTCATCCAGGTACGGGGGAAAAGGGGACACTTTTAACAATTATTGATTGACATTTTATTGTTGGTTCCGACATGAGTTAAATTTAGGGCCTAGCAAAATTAACTAAACTAAATTAAAATTATTAAATAACTAAATTATTTTAAACTAAAAAATTAAAACTATTTAAAATAAAATTGAATTAAATTATTTTTTAATTCAATTTTTAAAAAATTGAATTTATTTAATTTACAGTTTGGTTAACTAAGTAATTATAAATTAAAAAAATAAAAGGAGGCACATCAGGACGGGTTGGCTCTTTACGCTAGGAATCCCTAACTCACACTCACACAAATCACACCAGCCACCGCCCACCGCAAGGTAAATGCGAAAATGCAATCTTCCTTCACGTATTTCTGTTAATTATCTCTAGTTACTGAACTCTAGTGTTATTTTTTGGATACCTTGATTGATGGGCTTATTTCTTAAGTCTCATTTTTTGTGCTCGTGGAAGAAATAATTTTTGTGATGGTGGAAATAGAACAGGGAAGGAAGAAACAGAAGTCTTATATCATTAAGCATGCTAAGAAATTGAATGTGTCTTTGCAGTGAATAGGTTCTGGGCAATCGAGAAGACCTGGTTTAATTTTGTTGAGGTGGTTGATATTCATTGTTCCTCTAGTTGAACAAAATTTCGTCAACATAAGTAAGCACTCTTATTTAAGTCTACCCGAGGCTCAGGTCTATTCTTGATTGTTTTTCCCTCTTGTGTCTGCCACGCTCTGGATTTTGGAAACAGTATTAGTTCAACCTTTTAGGATGGATTTGTGTAGTTATTTTATGACCCTGACATGCTTCCAAGGTTATATCCTTCAAAATTTCAGTGTATTAACTGTTAAAAACCAAGTCTAGGTTGCCTTATTTAAGGGACTCATCGGGTTTCTTATGTATTATAGGATACTAAAGTCCCTATATCTATGATTAAGTTTTTCTTTTTTTATGTATGAGCATAAAGTTAGTCGATATAAAAATGATAATATATTTTTCTTAAAAAATATATTTTATGTATATAAATGATTAATTTTGTATACAAGCTGTCTTGATCCCAGCCTATATAGCCCAAAGCATCAAATATATTTTCCTTTATATTGTGTGTTATATAGTAGTAATTAGTAATATATTAGGCTAGTGCACTATGTGCCACAGTGACCATTCTTTTCAGATTTGTTAAATAAACCCAATTTCATCATTTAATCAGAGTTTCTACTGAGCAAATTAAAGAGATTTTGAATGTATTATGCCTAGCTGAAGATATTAAAAACTCAACAATCAGTCATTTGTTGCCATGTGTGAACGATGTTTAGGCAGAAAGGCTAAGTAAAAGGCAATGGTGGGTTCCAAGAACTCTTGGCTGGGGCTTCGTGAACTGAGGTTTTGATGCTAGTTTGGTGGTATTCTCATTTATACTGACTACGCCCCTTCTCATTCTCATTTATACTGACTACGCCCCTTCTCTGTTTCTTCCAGCTGAAACATACCCAAGTCCATTTGTCTGGTCATGTAAATTTCTGTCTACTCATATTAGT